TACAGGCCAGTTATAAAAGATATTCTGAAAAGCTACTGAATATGGATAATTACTGGTTATTCTAAGGTCGAAGGACTGCCAAATGAGGCCTTGATACGAAGGATAACTTAGGATATACGTGGTAATTGCGTTAGGAGGATGAGGAAGCAGTGAAGGCTTTAGAAAAGGAAAAAAATATGCTGTGGGATTTCTTGGGATAATATGATAGAAAAAACACTACACACAAGATAAGTTTATTCGGTAGAGTATTTTGCTATTAACCATAAATATATATATATATATATATATATATTATAATATAATATATATATATAGTATATATATATGTGGATATACTATGGTTGAAAAAGGCTATTTTTCTTCAATAAATCTATATTGTGGGTTTTAATATAATATATATAATATATATATATATATATATATATATGCACACACACATCATCTATATCTATAATCTAACACACATATACATCATTACATCACACACACACACACACCACACACACACACACACACACACTACATGGGTAATAATATATATATATATATATATATATATATTATATATATAATATACACCATATATAATAATCTATATACATCATATATATATAATATATATATATATATATATTATTATCATATATATATATAATAATACATATATATATTATATTATATATTGTGGGTTATCTATATATATGTATATACCATATATATATATATATATATATATAATAATCTACAATAATATAGGTACACACACACACAAGAGAAAGGAAAGAAGATACCACAAAACACACAAGTTTATGAGAATTATATAATATATGAAGATATATATATATTATATGCCAGTATATTATATATATATATATATATATATATATAATATAAGGATAATATATATAAGAGATCACAGTAATTGGTACGATAATTATATATAATATATCAGATATTAAAATAAGTACATTAACTGAATAATTAAATAATAATGTACAAAATGGATGCAACAGTAAAAAAGTCGATTACTAAATAATTATGATGTTCAGGGAGACTTATTAGAGAGAGAGAAAGATACCAAGAGTGGAAACCGAGTCTACGAACCAGAAAAATGTGATAGGAAGCTGTCAGTAGCTTTGAAGTTATTTGAAGTTTCCTAAGCTCAGAGTTTGGACGAGAGTACTCACACATTTGATAGAAGAGAATGGAGGACACGCATTTATGACCTTAATGATGGGCTAATGATCGTAATAAATATGTTTATCATCATTATTTGCATTATTGTATTAAATTATTCCATTTTCAATGTAATAACATTGGTGCTATTGCCATTTGGTTATTGATAAGGTGTCCCTGTTATTATTTGTATCACAATTGTTATTTTTATCATTCTCATTACATTATTTTTACTCCCATTAGTTATTATTGTTATGATCACTTTATTTCTATTTTTGTGAGTCATTATCATTATATCATCACGGTCACAACCAACATCAGCATCATCATTATCATCATGATCATAAATTTATTGTTACTTTATTCATTGTCATTAGTCTTACCTTTGTTGTCATCCTAATTGCTATAATCATCATAATTGACTATCAATATGATTATCATCATCATTATCATTTTGATTTGTATTGATATTATCGTTATTATTTGCATTACAAGCACTATTCCTACTATAACATCTAATATTACCACTAACAAATACTAACAAGAATCAATATCATCATAGCTTTTACTTTTATTATTATGAATTCTACATTTCTCTTCTCATTTATTATCACTATTGATATACATTCTTGACAAAGAAAATCACATGCTATTATTTCTTTGTCACATATCCAAATCATGTGAAATTATCCAAAAATATTAATCTTGATAGCATACTAAGTATTGTTTAAATTTATTAAATTTCATCTTGATATTTCTTGTATTGTATGTTCGTGATCATCATCTGTTATCTATTTTGTTATTAAAATATTAACACGATTTATATCAATCACAGCACTCTCATTAATTAGCTTATATTCTCAGTATTCATTCAGCACCAAACACCTTATTACATGTCACATATATTGTACATACCATGGTGCTTGAATCGGCAATCCGACACCGAGATGGTGAATCTGAACCATACCCCGAATTAAATTTGTCAGTGTTTCATCATTCCCTTTATGAACGTACTTTAAAGAATGATTATTCTGTAACATATGTAGTGGTTAATATATCTGTTTTATCGTCTCAATAATATACTCTTAATTGTGTAGCATTTTATCATTGCTTACTACCCAACACTTGCCCAAGTCTGTTCTGTTTACCACAGGCAGTTATCAGCTTAGAGAGAATAGATTATCCAATATATACATAGCTTCAACATTAACTCAGACTACTGGTATACAAAGATGAAATGCTCTTTTCCAATTTTAAATCTGCCAAGTGCTTCAAGTGCAGGTGTGCATGATACTATTTCTGATGAAGCTCTCCTTTTCTTTACAATTTTTATCACTCAAAATATTTTATATCAGTATATAAAAATATATATCTGAAGTATTTTTCTCATTCACAAGAAAGTAAGTTTCATTAAAAAGAACAATAAATGATTGGAAAAATAAATTGATATAAAATTTGTTGTTTATTGAACTTTGTACAGAATCACAACTTTTTTCCCAAAATATTTCAGCATCAATAAAAAACTGACACAGTTTTCATCTAAAATCTATCTCCAAACTTCTTATAGGAAATTTGTTGCTTATAAAGACAAAAAGTATTGCAATATAATACAAAACTTCTGTATTACAACTACAGTACAGGAAATATGTACATAAGTGAAGGTTTGTTATTACTGTGCTTAAGAAATTACAATACACTCTTTCTCTATTCTACAGATATTTAAACTAACTTCTCACTTTATCTTCAGGTAATTTACTCCCTGTATGTCACCATACTACTATATAATCACATACAAGAAAAGATGCTCAGCATCAAATTGAAACTACTCCTGACAACAAATTACATATAAATAATTACCTAGCACTGTGTTAAGCTTTAAAAACACATATCCTTTATCTTAAGAATATCACTTTAATTTCAGTGGCAATAAAGATTTCATGAAAGAAGTTGCTTAAGTATACACAGGTTTTTTATGCCTCGGCATAAAAATATGGACAAGAATATGTAACATTTAAAAACTAAGATATATATATATACTTTTTAACTGCCACATGTTAGCTAGAAGTCACTGTTTGAAAAATATACACATTTGTCTGATTTGTAGCAGCATTAGGTCAATACTGATTGTGAATTAAAGGCCCTTATTATAAATGCACTCATTTTATTGAAAAGAGGTGACAAGATCATTTTTGCCCTGACCGATTCTTTCTTCTGGTATGGAGAAAAGACCAATAAAAAGTCAGTAATACACGGACCTTGAGGTTTTGATTTATAAAAAAAGAAACCTCAATAAACAGAAAAAGTGTTGGCAAGTATGGTTAACTGATGGCCAAAATATGCAAGCACATCAATGGATAAATGACGGGAGTTCTAGGTTGCATACACAATTTTTGCGTACACAAATAACGCCAAACTTGAAGGTTAAATCGGGTGGGATGTCACATAAAAACAATTTGAAATCAAGAGATCTAAGAGTGAAAGCCATATTGTAAAGCCTACTATAAATATTTATTTATAATATTCTATTTTGGCCAAAGGAGAGAAAAGGAGTTCTATACCGAAGATTTTTTTCCGTAGGATGTTCAAAAAAAAAAAAAAATGAGAGGCACCTTTTGATGAGAGAATTACACTACACACCTAGAGGGATGGATAAAATGAACTTCAGAATTCGCAGATGGAAATTAGATGTGAAGTATGCAATGATTTCCAACCTTGAGGGGAACGTTATGACAGAGGAGCTGTTTGTCAGCATTGCCTGCATAGGTAAGTGATAAAATCCTGAGTACAAATGTAGTACAGAAGAGATACATCTAAGAAGTTGCTGCCCACCAGTCTGAAGTCTACCACAGAGATGGTATGTCAGTTCTAATAATCTGTATAGGCAGATTTTCTTCTCTGTATATCTAAAAGCACCAATCAGTAGAGTACTCATGTGTTTCCATTAAACAAAGTTCCCATTGACAAAATTATCTGTAAAAGTTTGGTTATCTTCGTAACAATGCCCTTAGTGATCTCTCATTGAATCAAAATCACCTAGTATTGTTTACTCTTTTCCTCCGTGCAACTGTAACTCTATTTCCTTCAAATGTGGCTTCTGCTTTTTCAAGAGACCTTTGTATTTTACCTACATTAATTAAACTGGATGATCTATTATGCGTGGCATTAATTTTCTCCTTCCACATTTACAAAAAAGAAAAAAAAAATTACAAGATATCAAGAATCTTAATCTTTCTTGGCCTCACATGCAACCCTTTTGAAATATGCATAATTCCCAGTTTTCCTAATTGTCATTTTTATATGCTTCATTTCTCCTTTCAAACTATGGACCGAAAGTTAGAATCACAAGATTCAGAATTTTTTTTATCTCACCTCTTCAAATAAATGGTGAATTTATAGTGCACTTCCTCTTTTCTCTGTCATTAAAAATAAATAAATAAATAAGTAAACCATTTTAAAAAGAAAGAATAATTTACTTTAATATTTTCTTCATTGCAGCTGCAAGTCCTTCTTAGTGATAGCACCAAGTTCTCAAGACGAACTAGAACACACTCTTGTGTGGGCTTGGTGCTGGAGCTGCCGCACAAACACACGTCCACATCCGCAAACAAAACTGGGCTTACTTGGATGTTTCAGTCTGAGATGTGACATTATCATTTCGTTACTTCTGTGTATTTCTTGGCAGTGTGGACACATGAATGGTACGGGGTCTTCAGGAACAGTACTGGCTGGGGGGTGATCTACAGAACCACCAGGTTCTGATTTTATATTTGGCGTGGCTGCTGTGGTCGTGGGCTCTTGAACTTGACTGACAGGTACTGCTGGAG